ATCAATGAAATCAATACTAATTTGCATATGAAACTCGGATTACAACAATACCCTGATAATACTGGCCAATCACATTGAATGTTTGTTTTCCAGTACGGCATTTGTAGTCACCAACAACACGTGGTCAATCAATGCCCATTTTCTGTCCTCAAAAATGCATGTATCATATTTGTTGTGATTTGACCGGATGGGTTTTTAAATACGTATAAGAAAATTTAAAGAACGGAATTAGTGAGGCTACTCTGCTACCGTTGTACTATGTAGCTATCAATATCATCTTTATAGGATGTAAAACTTGCTTTGTCCGTTCACATGTATTTGTTGTTTATTCAATGCGATTAGTCAGTATCGTCAGTGGTATTGCTGTGTTCTGTGTTTCATATGCAAAGTATTATTGATTCCATTGAAATCAAACATCCAATCGATGAGTAAATTTACTATGCTTATTATCATTTTACTCATAGATTGGATGTTTGATTTCAATGGAATCAATAATACTTTGCATATATATGAAACAGAGAACCCAACAATACCACTGACAATACTGACCGAATCGTATTGAATAAACAACAATTACACGTGGACGGACAAAGCAAGTTTTACATCATATAAAGATGATATTGATAGCTACATAGTACAATAGTAGCAGAGTAGCCTCACTAATTCCGTTCTCTAAATTTTCTTATACATGTTATACATATTTAAAAACCCATCCGGTCAAATCACAACAAATATAATACATGCTTTTTTGTTAACTAGTATGCTGTAAACAACAATTACATGTGGACGTACAAAGCAAGTTTTACAACCTATAACGATGAAATATTCATTGCTACATGTACATAGTACGACAGTAGCAGAGAATCCTGCTTACTAAGTCCATTCTTTGAATTTTGTTATACGTATATAAAACCGCATCCGGTCAAATTAAAACAAATATAATACACGCATTTTTGAGAAAACAGAAAACGGGCTTTGACAGACCACGTTTTGCTGGTGAGTACAAATGCCGCACTGGTGAACAGTCATTCAATGTGATTGGCCAGTATTATCAGGATATTGTTGTATTCTGGGTTTCATATGCACAGTATTATCGATTCCATTGAAATCAAACATCCAATCGATGAGTAAAATGATAATCAGCATACAAAATGTTATCAAGCAAACTGTCACACTGTTTGTAAAATGATAATAAGTAAGGTTGTACTTTGAAACTATTATAATATATAAATATATATATCATATTGTATATACCGATCAAATCCATAATTATAAGGACAAAATTTTGCTTTTTCTGTCCACATGTGATTATGGTTTACTGCATTCCCACGAACAATCATTCAATACGATTGGTCAATATTGTAAGTGGTATTGCTGGGTTCTGTATTTCATATGTAAAGTAATATTGCTTTCATTGAAATCAAACATCCAATCGATGAGTAACATGTTAATCAACATGTGAAACTTGACCACGCGAAGTGACACTCTGTTATTGAAATGATATTATAGAAGTTTGAATGAATTCAAGAGAGATCGATTGAAATACATTCCTGCAGATATTAAGAAGTGGAGAAAAGTGAAGCGCAACATACTTTTCTGTTTACCGTGTATCCACGTGCAAGGCACTTCCTAGCCACGTTTCCGTGAATAATTTATTTTATCTCTCTATAGTCTTGCCAACTCTTGCCAGAACCACTGCCAGAGCTACTCTGAACTCACCGGGTTTTATAATTCGCAGAATATCGAAAAATGAAAATAAAAGTTTCCAAACACATTAAAAAGAATGAGATACATGTATGCTTAAGTTTTCCTTATAACGATATACTAAACTCTTAATATAGAAATATCTATTTTTAATGGCAGAGAAGTTTTATGGAGAGGTTAATTCCAGGTGAGGGGGCAGTACAGTATATACGTAGTGAATGCCTCCAAGAATTTTAGAAGTCTCGTTTAAACAGTTAAACTGTTTAAGTCATCATTTCGTAAGTTCTATGGTCGATATAATGACCTTGTCAGCAAATACAATTTATCGTTGAGACAGATGCGGACTGACGTTTTTCATACTAATTGTTAGTCCATTATTTACACCGAACTGACGACGGATTTTTCCGTTGTTTCCCCATCATGACAAGGAGCTTACGGCGTGTGTGACCGGTCGACAGGGGATGCTAAATCCTCCATGGCACCTATTCTCACCTGCGATGTTTTGGTGGTCCGTGATTGCTCTGCTCCTACTTTGTATTGTTTTATGGACTTTTGATATCGCATACTCTTCGTTATCTCCATATTTTTCATTGAACCAAAATCGGGTCATTGGTATTGCAACATTGCGTCCCCACACCATTACCAAAACAGTTGATGCTAGATAGTGCGATAATGATCTGCATGACCTCATCTGTATTCCCATTTTTTTTTAGCTTTTAGTGTGTTTCTCATTTTTCCGATCTAAAATTACTTACATTCCAGATTGTTTATGGAATATGGATAGGGCTATGAAGTCCACTACCGGTATAGCGTCATTGCACCATAACGGTTTGGTGCTGTGAAGCGATGATCTATAATGCAATGACTATAAATCAATGAAATAATGCGATGGTGCTACAATACTGTGACAACGATGTGATGGCTCAGTGGAGCGATAGCGCGTTGCCACATCTGTGATAGCAATGATGCAAAGTTCGATGAAGATATATAAAATACATGGTTACTGTCATGAAATATAAGCGATATTTGGGCGAGGGTAAGAAAACGTGATAGAGGGCGAGGCTTGCCGAGCCCTCTTACGTTTTCGACCCGAGCCCAAATATCGCTTATATTTCAAGACAGTTATCATGTATTTTGTTTATCCTGCAACAAAATATTATATTTGAGCGTCCAAAACTAGCTATTTTCGACAGATTTAGGCACATCTCTGCAGTTGAAACTATGACGCCATGGCGTAAACATTGCAGTTTATGTGACGTCACAGTGTTTAGAACGTCGGAACACATGCACGAGGCTTTATTAGGGCAGTGACCGGATAAAGCTTTGGTTTATTAGGTTACCTTTATTAGGTCAATGCAAGGGGTAGATGCAGGATAAAAAGAGATACTTACTATCGCTTCATTGCTTTATCACAACATCGTCATGTTAGCACTACATCGCGCCATCGTCAATGCATTGTGTCATTATCGTGCCTTCAACATAACAGTGAACTACACTGTACATGAGTTTACCCGGAATACAAAAAATTAAACTAAAGATTGCAAAATATGTTGGAAATTTATTGCATAGCTTCGTTAGGAGCAATACATAAAAATAAAATTGTCCACTTTATTTTTCAATTTTATTTCATAATGCTGAAACAAATGTAATTGTTAAGTGTGTGGTGTAATAAATACAAACTGAAATCCCCACAGATATTTCCATTTCATCTTATGCTCCCTTGTTACTGTCAGTAACATTATATCAATAATAATTAGTCTGCAAGCTGGGTATTCCTTATGTTATAAAAAGGACAAAGATTTGTATTTCCTTCTTGACTTGCGATATGTCTAATTTTAGGCATGTGTTGCTAAAAATAGAAATAAAAACCTCTTCTAATTATTACTCATTTCGGTAAATACTTTCATGTTTTTGTCGTTCACCATATGTCAATAACTGGTAATAACAGCTAGTCTGCAAATTGTCCATAACTTTTGTCAAAATAGTGCAAGATTCTATGTTTTGTCAGTGATTTGCAGCATGTCTATTTTTTGACGTGTCACTATAAATAGAAATGGAAAATCCCCTATTTATTATGCATTTCGGTAAATGTTCTCTTGTTCTTGTTGGTTACATTATTTCAGCTACAGTTAATGAGAGTAAGTCTGCAATTGCCCCTCCCTAATTTGAGAAAATGGAACATTTGCAGTATGTTTATTTTAAACATTGTTACTATGAATAGAAATGGAAAGCATTCCAGTTATTGCTTTTTGTTCTTATCAGTCACATTATGTCAGTTACGTTAAATGACAGTAAATCTGTAAATTGTCGATCTCTAATTAGATTGATTAATTGTACGTTGTTGAACGTCCCTCTCGAGATTTTTTCACTCATATATATGGAGACGCCACCCATTGCCGATGGAGAGCTGCAAATTTTATCCTATCCTTGGCACTCAGGGGAGTATGAACACACGTTTAAGATTTGAAAAATTTACGCAGACAATTTTTTTTATCTAACTTTAAAGTTCTCAAGATATACCGAATTTCCCATTTTTCCCATTTTCAGAAACTACCGTATATACTCGCTTATAAGTCGGTCCGCCTATAAGTCGGTTGTAATTTTTTAGGTTAATTTGGTGGGATTTGCTATTGACCCGCCTATAAGTCGGTAAAACTTTTTTGCCAAAATCTGGTGACAATTTCAAGTAAATCCATTGACATTTTAACCTGGTTTCAATTAATATTTTTCGAAATGAAACTGATATTTAATCTTAAATTAACAAACATAAAGGCTATGTCACTTAAAATGCAAATAATATTATTAAGATATGTATTTATTTGCACTTTATGTATACAATCTAAGAATACATAAATGATCTTATATATCCAGACAATTTCTTTGATAATCGTCGGAAATGCAAATAAGATCGTACCTTTAAGCCCCCAGAAAAATAACTGTCTCTTTATGACTCGCTTATAAGTCGGACATAGAGTTTTAAACCAATATTTAACTCCCAAAATACCGACTTATAGGCGAGTATATACGGTATGTCATTTTGCAGGACATTTATCTAAGAGTGGGTTTAATTCTCGAATAAAGGATAACATGCTCTGTAACATATTATTATAGCTTAAGAGTTTTTTTTTAAGATACAATGATTTATATTTAAGTTTTCAACAGAAAAATTATTGTAAGTCCATTATTAAAGCAATGAATTAAGAACGGATTTTCCGTTATTTCCCGATCACAACAAGGAGCACACGACGGGTGTGACCGATCGGCAGGGGATGCTCACTCCAGCATGGCATCTGATCCCACCAATGATGCTTTGGAGGTCCATGTTTGCTCTGCTCCTATTATGTATTGTTTTTTTTGGACTTTTTCTCTTGAATGCTGTTCGTTATCTCCATACGTTTCACCTTAGTACACTCTAAAAAAGTAAAAAAAAAATAATAATAACCTCCATATGTCCAGTCTGCAAACATTGTTTCTTCCTGTTCACACTCTGAAGGATCCACTGTTTCAATGAAGTCTTTGGACATGTCAATGACAAGGAGATAGAAGGCCCTTCTGCTGAGATAAACCTGGTGGCAGGCGTAGTAGGCACACTGTCCCCCCAAATCCATTACACTCAGAAGTGGTTTCCCCTCTTTATCAGTCTCTGTTGTCAAAGCTGTACAGGAAAATAAAAAAAAGTATTAGGGTCTTCTGAGCTTTTGTATCGAATTATTTTCTTAGCTCCGTTAGTTCTTATTTTTTTTTTCTGAAAAATGTATCTGAAAAACAATGACAAATTAATCTCTACGTATATCAGTGGTCCTCAGAGCAGTATTCTAAACAAATTGGAAATGATGTAAGGTTTTTTTCCCGTTATGATTTCGTGATTTAAAACGTTGCTCTGGGGAAGTTTCCAGTATATATATATAAATGGCACCATCTCTCACACACCTGGTGGAAGTGCTTGGTGTGGGCGAATGAATGCTTGAAGATTCAGAGTACCATATATGAACTTAAACTCGAAAGAGTTCTGTAATGTGTAATGTATTAAAGTATACAATATTACCCTAAATCATTTTTTGGACGACAATATGGGACCACAATGAATCCTACCCACGGGGTCCTGATTTTGATAAATCATGGCTTTTCTATTCTTGAGAAGATTTTTGAAGATTTTTCCTATGCATTCCAAAGTTATACTTGATCGTCCAGTGTGACCATACCCCACCCCCGGGGGTTATAATTTGAATAAAGGATCTACACTATCTGAGCATGCTTCCATATAAATATGATCAATTATGGCTTAAACGATCTTGAGAATAATTATAAACTATTTTAATCATTATTTACACCCTCAGCTTTTGCAAAGATATCCTACATTATACAAGAATGCGTGCATATGATTATGATTCATTATGACTTTCGCATATATTCCTACTTAAATACATGATGCCTCATTATGACAACAAAATAATCCCTTTAGACCATGATTTCTACAAATCTGAACTTAACTTTTATGGAGATAACGAATAGTATTCATGAGCTCAAAAGTCCATTTGAATAATACAGCTCAAACACGGACCCCCAAAACATCAGAGGTTGGATCAGGTGACATAGAGGAGTGAGCACCCCCTACCGACTGGTCACACCCGCTGCGTGCTCCTTCTCATGGTTGGAAAACAACGGGAAAATATAGACAATGTAGTGTGTATTTATGAGCACAACTTATGAAAATGTCTTAATTTTCTTGATAGTATGTATTATATTGACAAGAAATACGTCATTATTCCCATATGCTGAAATCTCCAAAAATTGCCAAACATTCTAACCTGTTTTTCAATGTTTCATATAAAGCACAATCTATGATCCAAAATGTGCAACTATTTAATGAAAGATAAATTCCTCGAAATTTAACAATTTTGTTTATATTTTTGAAAACTTGATGTTCTCCCAGTCTAATTCCTCGATGAAATAAACTTTTTTCTTGAACATTCAAGGTCATGACAATTCTAAAAAGTCCTTTTTCCAATATCTGTTCTCTAAGAGGAAACTTTGTTATAAGAAATGAAAGCTCTAAGATTCCATTTTATACTAACATTGAAATTGTTATATAGGGTTTCAGTCAATTAATTGGCACATTCCATAACAAATTTTAGTTTGAAATTGTGGCCCCTCCTTAGAAAACTTGCAATGACTTAAAGGTGTACTCAATCAGCATACTTTTGGATAAGTTTCATATTTTCTGGTCTTGACTTACTCAAGTTAATTTTTATACAGACAAATCCTTTTTCTTAATTATTTATCTAGAAAATTAATGTGGCCCTTCAGCTGAACGAATTCCAATTTTGTTTACTCGAAGGATATCTTTAATATAAAAACAAATAAAGACAGTGGGTCAGTGATACTGTTTAGAAAGTCAAAAAATGAAGAAAAAAAAAATTATATAAGATGCTTAAAGTAGCTACAGAACAGTAGCTCTCTGGTTGAGAACACTCGGACAAAAATACCGAGAGGTACATATTCTTGAATTGAAAAAAATAATTTGAATAAATTTTCTAAAGCTGTTACAATTAATTTTATTTACCTTTCAAAATGCAGGAATCTGGATCAATTTCAAATATGTCCTCGTGAACTTCTAAACCTATTGTAGATTTAACCTGTTTTATTTCGGTTAGACTTCGTTTCTGAAGACGCTTCAAAAGGGTAGTTTTTCCAGCACCGGCACAACCAACTATCATTGCTCGAGCTCTATGTATTTGTCGTGTTCCTTTTTTTGCACAATCAACATACCTACACCGTGCTTCTTGTCCCCAAATGAGAATTTCCCCGGGGACATTTACTAAAATGTAAGATAATACTTTGTTACATTTCTACATTACTCCATTATTAAATCCTGCAAGATCAATGACAGCAAATATTAAAACAATAAAATTTAAAACAATATATATTCTAAATTTATTTTTTTTTCAAAATTAGAAGAAGGCAACATAGGTTAAAACATGAGCGCTTTCATTTTTATATTCAGACGTTAAACAAAATTTAGGTCTCTGTTGAGTTTTTTTCCTTTGACAATGTTATTATATTTCCTAATATAATCTTTCTTAGTTTCTTTTTCATTTGCACGTCAATTTGATTGACTTTTTCCTGAGTTTGTAGATCTCACGCCGAACAATTGTATTTTACTGTTCACTCTATCGACAGCACATATTACCATTTTTAAAATAATGTATCAACCTGTAAGGAATTTAATCGGCATTGTGATTCTCAAGTTAACATTTGTGAAAGTGCAAGGATGTGTCAATCAAACCCGCCAAAAAAAGTTTTAAAAACTTTTGAATGAAATAAAATTTTTAATAAATTTTTGTTTGATATGTTATTCAAATATGTAATTCGTGACATTATACAGAAAATATTAACTTCAAATCTGTGTCCAGGCACCTTTAAAGAAATAAGGAAACTGAAAACTGAAAAGCCAATGTTATTTTGACCTCCCTGCAATTATGCACAAGTGAACACGTAATTGATTTCGGGCTTTATCGACTCTTTTTTGAACAGAGAATTTTTTATTAACAATAATGGTTAATTTTAGAAATGTTTATTCTTGATTGAAGAATTACCTGCTCTTCACATATGTATGTTATCAAAATCTCAAAATGCACCTTTTTCTACTTGATATTAGATACGAGTCTGAAATTACGAAATTTTACAATTATCATTAATTCTTACTATTGATATTTTTTTTTTTTATTTACGATGCTACAAATTTTATGATGAACAGTAGGCCATCAAGCTGTACAGGTAATACCCATGGACTTCCTGTGTATACTGTTTGTGTATAGTGATTAGCGCTTCCCACGGTCTGCACGACTGTCAATGCCTCGGGGTTCCACGCATGTAAAATTTAGTCCCTCCCCTTACCTGAGAAAAAATCTCGGCCTTTAAATTCAACCGATATATGAAATCTGCAGAAAAAAGTTGCAATTAGTAAAAATTTAGCTGCAGATCTGTAGCGTTATGGTTTTATATAATTGTCTTGACCATAACGCTACAGATCCCGTAATGCAAAAAGGTGCAATTTACGGCGCAATATTTTTTGCGCACTTTTGAGGAGAATTTCTTCCCTTTCCAGCATCGGTCAATTAATTATCTTTCACTCCCTAATTCTAGGCACATTATTTAACTAATCTGTATATTTTATCCATCTCCCAACCCTTTATAGTCGTCTCTACAAGTGATACACTCGCCTGATTTAAATTATTTGTTCGATTGCTGAAAATTCACCTCAAGCGAGTTTATTGCCTGTAGGGACAAAAATAAATGGTTGGGAGGTGGATAAGATATACATATTAGCTACAGAATGTGTCTAGAATTAGGGAGTGAAAGGTAGTTGATTGACCATTGCTAGAAAGTGGAGAAATTCTCCCCAAAAGTTCGCAAAAAATATTGCGCCGTAAATTGCACCTTTTTTTGCAATACGGGATCTGTAGCGTTATGGTAAAAGACAAATATATAAAACCATAACGATAGAGATCTGCAGCTGTAAAAATTTTAAATATCAATTATTAATTAATGATTATTCATTATTTTTTAATTTTTTTTAAGTTCCTACGGAAAGTATAAGTTGTAAAAATACTTTTTAAATTTGAATTAAATTTGTTATGTGCTTAACCTACAAATTGAAGAAAGTGAAAATGATAAAAAAAAAAAAAAACTGGATAATTCTTGCAATGGACAAATAAATTTCGAAAAAACTAGTATTGATAGATTAGAAAACAACTTTCCTTTTATATGTAATCAAGAGCCAAAGGTTTTTAAATTTCATTTCCTGTCTTTCAAACTGAAGAAATCTCATGTTGATATTTTGAAAAATGCATTTGTGATATCAGTTTGGGATGTTATTGGTTTTACTATTTAGTAATTAAAGTATTATAAAATTCAGAATGTCTGTTTCTTCTCTGACATTGGACAAAGTTGTGCATACTTTAATATCATAATTTCATGCATTTTTTCATGTCAACTGAAAGCATGCTAACCGCTTTTCAGTACTTTCAGTACTTTGATTAAAATAATGTATCAACATGTAAGTGAAGCAAAACAAATTTCCAGAGATATATTTTATAATAGTACTGATATTCATTAGTATTTCAGATCTTGCCACCTACGAAACATTAATAGAGCAATACCGTATACAACCTAGCCCGAAGAATATGCACAATTGTCAGAAATCCACGTCTGGATGAACTGAAAACTCAGAACAATATAATCCTTTAAACTTAATGAACGATGGCATCAGGAAAGTAAAGGAACTAGACAGACAGAAACTTAATTATTCCAACTTTTAAGGATGAGTAGGAAACTAAAAATATTTCCACTAGTCACAACTAACAACCATAAAAACCAAAATAATACTCATATCGTTCATAATCTCAACGAAATCAATATATGTCATAACCTACCTACCGTAAGATCAAACTCAGCGAACACTTTGATTTGTGCCGACACGAATATTTTATGTGTTACCTTTTTATCAACTCTTTAGAGGTAATATGATAAAGGAGAAAAAGAAAAAAATACTTTATTAAAAAAATTAAAACCAGTCTTAAAAGTTTGATTTAATTTGATTTTTGCAGGATTCTTTAATTTCATTAGGTTCTTTTAAAGTCATCATTTCGTAACTTCTATGGTCGATACAATGACCATTTCAAAAAATACAGTTTATTACTAAGTCGAATGCTGATTGATTTTTTTTTCCATACTAATTGTTAGTCCATTATTTATACACTGAATTGACAACGGATATTTTCCAATCACGACAAGGAGCACAAGGCGGGTGTGACCGGTCGGTAGGGGATGCTCACTCCTCCATGGTACCATCTCTGATGTTTTGGAGGTCCCTGTTTGCTCTGCTCCTATTTTGTATTGTTTTATGGACTTTTGATCTTGAATACTGTCCGTTATCTCCATATGTTTCATAAACACATGTCGGATTTAGTTTCAGAGGTGTGAACATACTGCAAGCACTTTAAAGCTAGCTGTCAGATATTCCATTTATTGAAAAAGTATTTATAATTCTGTTAGACATTACGACAAAAAAACGTTATGTTTGAATTTGCAAAACGTCTGAAGATAATTATGAAAGCGCTAACCATTTAACCTATGTTGCCTCTCTTTTTAAAAACTTTCTTATTAAAATAACTGGACACTGTGACTGTTTCATATACGTATATACTGAAGATACTTACAATATTTCGATATTTTGTGTCTAAATTGAACATTCCCCATAGAATAATATGAAGGAATAGTCCGTGGTGTTGTGTGTAATTCTGTTGACAATCTTCCAGCCAAAGCAGCATGTCTTACTACATCAATTCCTACTCTCCTGATATATAACTCATCCAGCTTCTCTGGCAAATACAAACACCGTTCATTGCTTTCTCTTTTGTACCACCATGGGCGAACATATTCCATTAAGGAGTCAATTGAGGACAACTTGATATAGTTCTTGTAGTTCTTGTGAGTTTTTAAACAATTCTTGATAAAGTAGCTGGCCACCTGATGACGGATATTATCAGATAAAAATCTCACAGAGTTTTTCTTTTCGTCTTCCTGTAGAACAATGTCTTTGTTTAATAATTCATCAATCAATTGGTCTTCCTCATCTCGTTCATCCTCTTGTAATGGGGGGAACTCAGTTCGAATTTCTTTAATTTTGTCTTTCCACTCAGCGTGTAGATTCAAGCAGTAATCAGCTGACATAAAGATTGTTATAAGTATACCCCATTTCTTGAGTGACAGATGAAGACTCTTCTGATCTAAAAAACAAATATTAAAACATATATACTAATTAAACCATGAACAATACGAGATGCCAGCTTTTCAGAGCAGTCAACTAGTTTCTATTCAAAACATTTTGGTCATATATACACTTGTGTTAGGCCGGCATCGTATTTAGAGGGTGTAGATGTATTTGAATTACAATTAAAGTATTAGAATTTCTTCTACATGAGTGGTCATTCTATTTGCTATAATTGATGGGCAAACATAAATCAACTTATTGCGTCAATCTGCAGATTACGTAAAACCACAGTGTTCTATTTATCTCGCATAATATTAAGATAACCTTCAAATCTCTAACATATCTCTTTATGAACATTTCTGATTTTTTGTATTGCTACATGTCAATTATTAAATACAATTATAAAATACTGAAGCATATCACTCGGTCACAATGATCCATGTAGGTATTGGATTTTGTCAAAGACACTTAAGGCCGTGTCACACTGTCACGATTTTTGCTACGATTCCACGCGACTTATTAAAAAAAAACATAAATCGCCAACAATCGCCACGCTAGCCTAACATTTTTTGACAGAGGGTGATTTTTTTCAGCGTGACACGATATGACTACGATGTCCGCTCAACAATGTACGAGGCTTATACGATAAAAGAACGAATTTTGGCGAGTAAGGTATGAACAAAGACGATCAAATTACGATCTTTATACGAATTTGTACGATAAGACACGGTTTTAAACGCATATCTATAAGTCTGTACGATGCATACACGATATTCCCACGAACAGTTCTTACGAATATACTTGGTTGGAGTAGATATATAGAGAGAGGGTTGGTTGAAATTCTTTAGAATAATTTCGAAATTGTATAATTATGGCAGTAGCTACCGTGCGGAGGCTTCAACTGCTGCAATATTTAGGGGAACTTGAACAAAATATAGCAGAAAATGACAGGGCCATTGCCAATTAATTACACAACGGTCGTCCAAAGAGGCAAAGAAGATACTAGATAAGACCATGGATCACCAGACGTAGTCAGTATGGATATTTCGATCGCTTGATGAAAAACTTGAAACGGAGAATGTATTGTCATTCAAAAACTTCCTCAGAGTAAAGCCAGATATGTTTAGAGAGCTTGGAGACAGATTGAGTCCCAGATTATCAAAAAAAAAAAACAAAAAAAAAAACAACAACAGAAGGGCTTTGGAACCTGGATTAAAGTTGGCCATCGCACTTCGGTATTTAAAACAGGAGAGTCATACACAAGTCTGATGTACGGATTTCGAGTTCCACATAATACAATTTCCTTGCTGGTTCGTGAAGTTTATGAAAGTATAATAGTGGAATAAGCTGATGAAGTCAAATGCATGTCCAACAACTACAGATGAGGGGCAACAGTTAGCTGAGCAGTTCAGAATTAGATGGAACCTGGACCATGTCCTTGGTACGTGCTTTGAATGGGAAGCATAATGCTATAAAATGCCCCCAAAACGAAGGTTCACTTCATTGCAACTATAAAGGGTTCCACTCCCTCATTCTTATGGGCCTTGTTGATGCTGATTATAAAATCATTTGGGTTGACGTAGGTACAAATGGTTCTGCATCAGATGTTACTGTGTTTAACAACTCAGAATTAAAATACTGGATTTCCAGAAGCTGCCACTCTACCAAATGATAACAGAAACATCCCGTATTTTATTGTGGGTGATGTCGCCTTCCCTCTCAGGACATGGCTTATAAAACCTTTCACAAGAAAGACTCTGACCAATGAGGAGCGCAATTTCAACGATAGACTCAGCAGAGAAAGTCGCGTTGTAGAAAATGCATTTGGAATACTGTCCAACAGATGGCAATGCCTCTTCGCTCCAATGCGCCAAGAATCAGAAACTATTTCATCTATTGTATTAGCATGTTGCTGTCTTCATGATTTGATGCGAATGAGATTTCCAAATCTCCAAAACGCGTACAATCGTTCTATTTCGCAGTTCACTCGCACTATACTGGTACTGCACTCGCCGTCAATCGCCTGTTTTCGTATCATATGCGCATAAAATCGTACGGAACTCCTTTTGAGTAGAGAAACACTCGCAAAAACTCGTGGGACACTCGCGATAAATCGTAGGAAACTCGCAGAGTCGGAAGTTTTACGAATTTTTGCGAGTGTCCCCGGGACTGCTTTGGGACCGCTCTGGGACTGCTGTGGGACGCTCTGGGACCGCTCGGGGACTGCTGTGGGACTGCTTTGTGTCAGGTTGGGTCTGGTCGGTGAAGATCAGATTCTACCCAAATAAAAACTGTACTTCTTGTATTTAAAAATTAATGAAATTTTCACAGAATCAAGAAGACAATATAACTAAGTGATGGTATCAGTTAGATTAGTCTTGAACGTTTCATTTTAGAGTCAAGGTCAGGTCAAGGTCATTACCTTTTCCTTCGACATTAAGAATAAAAATGACTGCATCCAATCATGCGATAGTGTCTTTTATTTCAAAAGATTAAATGTTTTCCCTTTTGAATAAAAATTATATAACTATATAGGGTCTATAAGTTGATATTACCAAATGACACAAATAGTTCAACAAAATTAAATTTTGGCTAATGCGATTTTTCTCTATTTTTCTTAATTTTTTGTTTGTATATGAGGGGGGACCTATGTCCGGAAAGTCTTTGTGTGAAATTTTCAAAACTTTAACATTTCTTTCCTGACCACTTGTTTTTTAATTTTTAGGTATTAAAAACAATACCTTTATGTACTTATTTTACACAGGAGCACGTGCAAAAACAGTGTAAAATGCTAAAAATGGATTATTTTCAGACAATATTGTTCTACCCCAAATATGCGCTAAAAAGAACCAAAACTGTCAAACTACATTCAAAATCAACAAAATTATTTATCTAATTCATATGACTTGTATCTTTGAAATGAAGGCAAATTCATTGTAACTCATCTCGCATGAAAAATTATAATGGAGCACAATGTAAGTATCACCCTATTTTTCTTGTCGTATTTTTTACAATTCCGACATGCATAATAGGTAATATCTTAAAAAAGTCTTTGTGTAAAAATGTTGAAATTTATATTTTTTGAAAGTAATGAATTATCTCTTTATTTTAACGAAGAAAAAAGTATACCTTTATGATAAAATAAACGAGAAATATTACGTTTTCTTTATTTTCGTACTCTTGTGTCATAAATATTGACCTTTTTGCAATAAAAAAGGATAAGAAAGCACTAACAAACATATGAAAATAAAACTATTTTGCGAAAAACGAGCATTTTGTTTTGATAAGAAACAATTTAAACCGATTAACTCTTTTCTTCATTCCAATCATTCTGCCCCCTCCCCCATTTCCCCGTCAACAACCAGCACCTATTAGAACCTAGGAATGACTTTACACAATAAAATCTACATGTACTATAAATCAATAAGCAAATATAGGTACAAGCACATTTCTTAATTTCTTTTCTTAGTTTTATCAAGAAAATACAACTAATAACATAAAATTAATTATATTTCCCTGATTTAAGCGGCTTTCTTTGCTGAATTTTATCTTATCTTTTTGCACTTACATTATCATCGAGGCATTTCTTCACAACTGAAATTGCTATGTATTATCAACCAAAAGAAGATAATTCTAATAAACACAAAGTCCATAAATCAAATAAAACTGTTATTAATGATGAATGAATTTTCTTTTTGTAAATTGTGAACGTTACTGATTATAAATATTTACATTTGCAAATGTTTTCCTTTATATAACACTACTGAAAGCAAGCGTATTTTATAACTGTATAAATACAGGTACGGGGTCAAGAGGTCATAGATGTGCGTATGGATAAACGTTCTCAGTGACGTCATTTCTCAGTGACGTCATAAAGGGTCGACGCGCGTTCAGTGGATTGCATACATGCCGTTGGGTTTGAAAAATAATGCATTTCACACGTTAAAAGTCACAATCAGGCAAATTTAAAGTATGAATAAGTCACAAATGTAAATATAAGTAATAAGGTATCATTTTTTGAGTTTTATTGGGATGTAAAACGGGTTGGTCACGTGATCAAATCCCATAAAGCCCGAAGGGCTTTATGGAAGATTTGATCATGTGCCAACCCGTTTTACATCCCAATAAAACTCAAAAAATGATACCTTATTTCTTAAATAATGCAAAATAAATTGCCGGTAAAAACAAACGTCGCTATTGTGACGTCACATAACGCTGCTTTGACGTAGAACGACATAGCCCCCCCCCTTAATGAGGCCCGATCTCCTTGATCTGCGGATACGTTTTAACGCAGCATCGACTCAGGCACGTCACAGTACCCTTGACAGCCGTCACAATTGAAAACAATAACGGCACAATTAAAATGACGTCAAATTGCGCTTAAATGTTTCGTTGATCTTGCATACCTGCTCTATAGATTGTACTTGTTAAAAGCTGGCTCATCCTGGCATTTCTATTATTCACATGCTTTTAGAAAATATATATATATATATATATATATATATATATATATATATATATATATATATATATATATATATTTATTAATAAACAACTTTGGAACATAATTTATTTTGAGGTATCAATTTCTTGGTACAGATTTATTAATTTTATCTCGTTTTATTCTCCTTTCGTCGCCCGCGTGGCGCAGTGGTTAGAGCGTCTGCTCTAGAGTCGCGAAGAAAGGAGTCAATCCTTACGTCGCGGGTTCGAATCCACTGTGGGACGTGGAGACCGGTCCTTCGGATGAGACCGTATAAACCGAGGTCCCGTGTCACAGTAGATGCTGGCACGAAAAAGAACCCTCCCTGCTCAATGGCCTTAGTGCCGAGTATAGGACAAAATTTGCAGCTCTCCACCGGCAAGTGGTGGCGTCTCCATATGAGTGAAAAATTCTCGAGAGGGCGTTAAACAATATACATTCAATCAATTAATCGTTTTATTTCAATTTGTGATTTAGAAAAAACACTACAACCAAAGGGAAACGATTTAAGTCTTTCTCCTCGAACATGTTGA